ATAGAATATTTTCAAAATATTCTACTGAGGTCGGTCCGACCAACGATACTGAAGCAGCCCGAGTAAGCAAAGATCTCACAGTACCTTCACATAGGCACTGAGGAACTCCGTGTTGTGTTAGTGGGTTCGAGTCCCACACTCTGCTCCTTTCCCCACAAAGGCATGCTCGAACAAATGTCCTCCCGTCACAAAAAATATTTTTGGATAAGTAAAAAACAATATTATCTCTGCATGAATTTGGAATCGTTAGTATATCATACGGTAATTTTCTATCAATTCTAGGGTTATTGTAAAAATAACAAACTATTTGTTTCATACAAAAAATCTTTAACAATTATATTACATATATTATTGTTTTATGTTTCATAATTCTTCGATGAGAATTCAATTTTAAAAATAATACTTTCATGAAAGTTGAAATCTCATTTCTATAAGTTTAAGTGATTTCCGTTAATCGTTATTGGAAATACTTCTGTGCTCATGCGTATTCGAAGTTAATTGAAACTGGAAATTTTGTAGTTTTAAAAATCTATATACAAATAATATTTTTGTCACATAGTCTGGTGATATTTTATTGAAATTCAGTTTTAACACAATCATAAGAGGCATGCGTCCTTTATGATTTAATTTTTTTTAACTTTATAATAAAGCGTACTTATCTTTCAACATAGATGTAATTGTTGAAACAGAATATGCTTCCATTATCACTGTAGATTACTCCAATCTTTGTTTCAGAATGTTAGGTTCACGTTGAATTAATATAATTATTTGAATAAGTTAGTAACGTATCAAGATTCTGATTATGACATACTGAAATAGGATTTTAATAGTAATTTAAAGACAAAGCTTTATAAATGTTGCGTTATTCTTCTTCTACCTGGAAATTTCCCAGCTTTAGCCAGGGTCTGCCTCTGTCGTTGTGATTATTAACATATCGAAATAAAATATCACACAATCCTTATTTCTTATAACTCAATTGAAATTAGGACTTAGACCATCATTGTACTGACATAGAAACGTGATTTTTAGATTTTTAAATACTTTATTTATTAGTTAAAGCGACGAAATTTCTATTAAAATACACAAACGTAAAAGAGTTTTTTAAACTATGTAAGTATACTCCATGAAGCCTTTTAGAAATTGGTTCTATTTCGGGAAAAGTCCCTGATATGAAGATAACCTAATATAAATTTAGCTTAAAATATAATAGCAGACATCTTAATGTTTAATTTAAATCAAAATGAAAAAATTTTTTGTTCATAAATTTCTTTACGGATCTCTTGCAATATATTTAAAATTTCAACAATTTTGGCATATTTTGGGAAGACGTTATTATAAAATTTTGATTTAGTTTTCTTTATATACCAAAAATTATATTAAACTTTACGTGGTTTGCTATTATTTATGTGTATGAATTGTATGGGTGAGTCTTATATATTATAGGTGGGTTATAGTAGGCAAGTAAATTGACTGAATGGTATTCTTACTTATATAAATATATTAGTAAAATTAATTTCAAACGTACAAACTTATTCTTAAATTAAGGTAACTAATCTAGTATATTTTATTGAAATAAAATTATATAATAAATTCAAAATTTTAATTTTCGTCTACAAATATAAAAAAATATTTAAACACGCCCTGAATTCTTGAAATTAAAGTATTATTAATTTTTGATAAATTTTATATATTGTAAAAGGTTCCAGGAATTTTGCTCTATAAATTATAAAATGTCTATTATAATTTATTAAGGTAATTTAAATAAAAATTCTTAGTTAAAAAATAAATGAGTTAATTTTAACTACACAAAATTTAATTTGGGCACTTTCGTTTATTTGATGATTTGGCTTTTAACAGTTTTCATAAGTGTCATTGACAAATGACGCAGCTTCAATTTTGGCCTCATTAGAAGTCTGTTTCCGACCACAAGGATTCGGAAGAGCCTTTGTGATATAGTAAAAACTTAACTTAAAAGCTATTGACTCAAGGTCACATTTAGATAAAATGCTTTTGAGGCCGTTCAACAACCAGGAATGCCGGATTTCAATCGTGTAGAGAGAAGTAGATTGACATATTTCTTGATTTTATATCCGGAATAAGAGCTTCAAAAAGTTTAGGAACTAGCAAGAGATGACAAGTTTGTCCATGTAAAATGGAAAGAAAATATCTTTTCCTTTTAATACATGCCATATTTACATTTCCCTAGAATGATTTCTTATCAGATTCCATATTGTAATAATTTCATCACCTCCTTTGACTGGATTGATGATGCAGAAAACTGATTTGTTTATATTTTTTATAAAATAAAGCTCTACAAGTTCCTACGATTAATTATTATTGTTTTTTGTTATTACTATGAATACTTTACGAAACATAAAAAAACATATAAATATTGGGTATACACAAGTTATTGTGCATTTGTTAATTAAAAAGCTAGTTAAACCTTAATTCCGATAAAGATGTATATACCCATATACATCTACATATATTTATATTTGTAAATTTGTAATATAAATCAGAAAAACTTCTAAAGTTACCGACCAAATACAAAAAGGAGATGAAATTATATTATAATTATTTCATTTAAAGAAACTGTAATGTAACAGCGCCATCTGCCGAGCTGATTTAAGAATTTGAACCATCAAAACTGTTACTCAAATGCATACAAAATTTAGTTCAGTTGGGTCCAACGGTTTAGGAGGAATTTAGTGACATACGTACGTATTGTAAAAATATATATTATATTAGCTTTCCGCCCGCAGCTTCGCCCCCATGGAGTCCGGTTATATCCCGATTCCAAGAGAACCTTTCAAAAGTCTGGGATAAAGACTATTCTATGTTCTTTCTCAAGGTAAACTCCATCTCTGTACCAAATTTCATTAAAATCAGTTCAGTGGTTTAGGTGTGAAAGCGTATTTTTCATTGTTTAGCCCCCGCAACCCCCCTTGTGGGTGGAATTTCGTAAAATCGGTTCTTAGCTGACCTCTACTCGGCGAAAAGAATAAACCTACCAAATTTCAAGTTCCAGAGATATAGTGATGAGTCAATATATAGGTGGAAATCGTTTTTATATATATTGATAAAGATTAGATATTAATCAAAATAAAACACTACATAAGTACAATTTAGAGACTAGGCTTCAGTTTAAAATAAGCCTCAAATATTCTTTTTACCTTAAGAGGTAGTTTAAATTTTAGGCACATATGTTGTTGTGTTACTAGAGTTCTTATAATAGAATGAGAAAATTGTGGCGCATTCAAAGTGCTTAGTAATTAGGTAATGTTCGAGGTTGTAGGTTGAAAGATTAATAACAATGCAGGTATAAAATGATTGATCTTCATGAGCCGAGTTGGCAGGTTCTCAATTTATAAAAGAGGCTTTTTATGCTGAAACAAAAAAAATATTCAGGCCACAAAACTTTGAAGGTAATAAGTTACACAATCGAGATTAATTTTCAATATCCACTACGATATAAAATAAAGAAGTGTTTGTAATTTACATGTATGTATGTACTTTCCCAAGGTTCTGTTCCGTCATAGCAAATTTCATGAAAATTTCTTTTTGCGCATCAACCGTCATAGATATAACAAATCTACTTTAGTACATTATTTTATAATAGCAATAATAATTGGTGACAACTAACCACTACTCCTTAAATTCATATAAAAAAAGTTTTACACTCATTTCAACTGATATATAGGCTTTTTCATCAGAATACATCTTTAAGCTTTGACTGAATCACTGAAATAGTTTTTGTATTTACAAATCAAACTTTGTCATTAATAATATTCTTACGTTAATACAATTAAATTACATATGCTTATGTGTGGAATAATTTTAATTCCCGCTTCTGGTTTCAAATTCTTGACTTTACAAACTCTGTTAATTAGATTTAAACATAACAGCGAAATCCGTTTAACTATTATGTTATGTCTCTACGGAGTTGCCAGAATTTGTGTTGTTAAGCATAATTTACTTTTTTACAATTAGCTCTTTGAAATTTATAAATTTGTAATTGATAAAGTAATTAATCAATTAATATAAATTATTAATTGTTATAAATATGTATATATCTTTTCAGATGTATAACGCCTTTCTACATCATAAGACAAAGTAAAACCTTCTCGGTCGTGTATACATTTTCACTTGTATTGTAACTTTATATCTCCTTAAATGTTCTTTTACTCTCGTAGAACTTTAGCGGTAAATTCTCTCTTAAAACATATCTTTTTCCTGTAAAATTAAATATGTATGAGAATAATTCTGAACACTTTAGAAGTGTGTATTACAAATATACTTTTATATTCAGGCAAACGTTAAACGAAATTGCATTGTCTCGTATAAAAAATCAATCGAAAATTAACTTTTTAAAAGTAACTTCAGTTTCATTTTAACAATATTGACTTGCTAACAATGGGGGTACATATCACAATGTACTCGTATCATTTACATGCCAGTTCGCATCAAGGCTATACGCAACCCTTTATGAAAGGCTTTTAAGATCATTACCTCTGTCCAGGGCGCTTTATATGAAAGTTCATTGTTCTCCTGTCATTCATAATGCATCTGTAAGAATCTATTTCTATATCACACTGTTTAAAGAGACTTTTCAAGAATAGTGCTTTTTATAATGTTGTTCTGTTTAAAATCTTTTTGTTATTACTGTTATAAAAATATTAATTAAGACTTCCGCGAGTATTCATTTAAATGAAACTAATATTATCGGATTAGTAAGCGCATTTTATTTTATTTTTTTGAGAATTGTGTTAAATTGGTTTGGCGGTAAAATGAAGTCTGAATTTATATTATGGCTGAATACGGTCGTACTGCCCGTGATCACGGTTGCTGCAAAATAATCGAAACGTCGAGAATATCTAGTTTTTAAAAATAACAAAATATGCGTAGTTATCCAAAAATATTATTTTAATATACAATAATAATAACAATCTGTTATACATATATTACAATGTTAAGTTTAATTTAATACTCTCATTTTCCAGAGTCCCAACTCCTAGAGGTTCAGTATCGAGTACTAGCAGTTCCAGCGCTGGTTCACGCCTGGCCAGGTTTCTGACTCAGGGTGTCCGCGGCCCTCCTGAAGAAGGAGGAGCTGATACTCCAAGAAGACTTAGCTGGGAACGGTAAGTTATCATTGATATATCAGTCTTCTGAAGTCAGTGGTGGCCTAGTGGTTAAAAGGCCCGCCTCTCATGCACGAGGGCGCGGCTTCGATTCTGACCCGGGCAAGTACCAATGTGATTTTTCCGAGTCATATGTACTTTCTAAGAGTATTTAGACATCACTGACTAATGCATTCCCAAAAAGAGGGTTGATGTCAGGCAGGCGGCCGATCGTAAAAACAATTAGCCAAATCTATTCACAACATGTAAGGCAGACCCTGGCTAAAGCTAGGAAATTGTAAGGTAGATGAAGAAGAAGATATCCGCCTTCTTTAACAGCAGTTATTTGTAGCAGCAACTTCATTCAAAATGCGTGTTGTAGGTGTGGTGTATACATACATACATATTACATATATATTACATATATACATATTCCAAATTTTATTTTAATTAAAAGGAAATATAAGTTTTGTGGTGAAGATAATCTTTTAAGTGTAATTGCGAATATTTGTTCTAAGCCCATTATATTCATCTTTCTTCTGCTTTTAACTAAACAAGGCTTATAATTTATTTCGTAATTAAATTAAATATATCATTGCTAGGTCGATAACAAACCTGAAGCTATAACTGTAAGTTTGTAAGTCAGCGACAGCTTCTTATAATAAAAAAGAATGTAAAATAATACATATGGACTATTTAAAAACAAATGTCAGTAAACTAGTTACCAGTATAAGGGGGCGAGTTTGAAATCGGCCTTGAAGCAATTATGCTGCCATGTGATGTAACCAACTTCGATATCTTGGCTTTTATATAAACGTGAACGTTATTAGTTCAGGAAATGGCTTCCGATATAGAAGGCTGCTGAAACTTCGCAAAAAGTGCTTTAGTTGAATGTAGTACCTAATTGGAATAATAATTTCTGATCGCTTTTGGATAATCACTTTTGTTGTTTTCAAAAAACAAATCAGTAGATTTAGTGTGGATAAAGTTAATAAACCTTTTTTCATTATAAACTTTCATTTATAGATGTGTGTTTGTGTGTGTGTGACTGTATCTAGGTGTATATATGTACATATATTCGTGTATCACATTTGCTTCTGACAATACTTATGTACATGTATGTGAAGGTTATATTTCTTATCTTTCTCTAATACCATTTTGGTATTACAAAAATTATAAGAATGCAGCAATAGTAAATAATAAAATGTATTTTTACTTCTATCGTGTCACGAATAAACTCCAATACTATCAGGCATTCCGGGAAAAGCAATGGCATTTTTAAATCTGTTCGTTTTATTCGGTCACCATTTGATAGACCACGATCCACATTCGTGACATCGACTTCAATTACACATGCCACTAGTCACTTCTGTGGCTTGTGAGGATTCAGAACAATAGTTCTTACTGCTTACGAAATAGTGATCAAAATACATTAAATTCTTTCATCAGCCACGTAATATAATATCAATACAATATATTCTTTACTATATATTTACCAATTAGGTACCTTTTATATACTGAAAGGAACTATGAACGGAAATTTATTTATAGCTTAAATAGTTTCAGATGTGGTCACTGGTCAACCGATTGACTCAAACTTGTTTTAAATTATTCAAAGGTTTAACCTAACTAATCTCATGAGAGTAAACGATCCCAAAGTTATCTATCGCTCCTGTACTGTTTACGTTATCAGTTTCAGCAGTTCGGTTTACTCGGAAGCCGGTAAACCTTTTATAGCTGACTAAACGTAATTGCTCTGACAATATTCTTGAATGGAAAAATGTAATCTCAATAACTTATAAGACAAATCTAAAACTGCTTTCAATGTATGTAGTAATATAGTATGTAGTAAACAACCTTATAAATGTTCAAAGGAATTTCATATGTGTACATTAAACAAAAACATATGTATATATTATGTACTATCAGGTCAATAATTTTGACATTACTGTACTACACTTATAAGACTTTTAGAAGTAACATAATTGAGTAACTGGATTTAAAAATGTTCATTCTCTTTTAGTTTACATGAATTGATTTAACCAACCAACTTTACAGTAGAAAAATAAATAATCACGTAATATCTGCTTTAAAATGAAAAAGTAAAGCCTTTAACCCGTTGGTATCTAATGGATTACAATTTTTAATTATGCTTAAATTCTGAATTTGATCCAGAACACACAAATTAAAACATAAAACATATTTTTTAATTGTTTTGAGATGCAGCCAAAAAGTGCCATCAATTATTATTTTTTCTTTGATGCAGATCACAATATTAATATGAATATTGGATATCTCAATAGGTTTTTACAAATTAAAAATAATAAGGATATAAGCCTTAACAAATTATTATCTAAAAGCAACAACGCGCCAAAGGTTATAAACTTAAAGCTTGTTTCAAACAAATCAAATTAATTGCATTAAATATAATAGATATATCAAGCTTTACTTAAACAATTGATATTTAACGGAAATTTTTCAAAACAAATAATCTATCAAAGAAGAAAAATACATATGTACATATATAAAATCAATTTATTATACAAATATATACAATATTAACGACTCAAAATAAGCAATTGACCTCTCTTGTAGCTAAATATATTGAGGAAACGAATTCTGCTCCTTATATAAAACAGTAGTTGACTTTTTGTCAATTTATTAGTTCTGTCAATGTTCAGAGCCACCTGCGTTAGACAAATAATACACAATAACATTGTCACTTAATATATTGTATTTCTTTATATTCTTTCTTTTCGTTCACATATTATTTACAAACAACTGCTACTTAATATAAATAGTTATATATTATACTTATATTTTCATGAATAGAGACATGAAGATTAAAACTCATGATAAAATTATAGGGAAGGCACGACTAAATGAACTTTTCTAGGGATTCAAATTTAAACCAGATGTGAGTAAGGAATAGGAAACTATAAAGGAATAAGAAACTATAAAGAACAAAGAGGTCCTCGATTATATGAAGCCCAAATCGAAAAAATGGACCAATACGATCTTAACAGATTTTGTCAATCCAAAAGCTATGGATCAGATGTGTGCGACCCTCTTGATTATAATTGCGAATATATACCTGTCAAATGTTTCTCTCCGATGGCTAATATATCAAACTTGTATGCAGTGCAGCTACTAAAAACAGATTTGCTCGCAATACTAAAAGTAAGACTTAGTCTTCCGTTAAAAAATGCAGGGGATAAAACAAATCGTCCAAGTATAATCAGTGAGTCTTTCCCGGTAATTATAAGAGGACATCAGGAAAAACTGTGTATTTTTCATGAAATAGCTCGTGATGGCATACATGACTTTCTTGCTCAAGGCGCCGGATGTGGAAAACGTTGCAAGTTGCAAGGGAAAAGCAAACATGTATCTTACCAACAAAAGAATGTTTTTAAGTTTTCTTAGCTAAAGTTCCTACAGTATTATATGTTTTGTCAGATGGTTATTTAGGTTTTCGTTTGGCTAGAAGTATTACTTTTTTGTGTTTAAAAAGTTAAAATTAAAGTTCTTTATATTTCATTCTAAAATTATTATAATAATATACTGTTATTCATTAAGTTGACAAATGTACAGTACATGGTACATAACTATCATTTAAATAAAACTTCGAGTCAAACTAAAGAAAATACAAGTTTGCCCAAAAACTAATTAAATGAATTGTTACTAATGCTTAAAATTAACCTCCATAATTCGAATAGAATCGATTATTAATTATTCTATAGAAACATACTGAAATCTACAGGAGTTAAAAAAGTAAGATTTTAAATAAAAAACAACATAGTATTCCCACTACTGCTTTAAATTAAATAAAAATTAAAATTTTGATCTACACAGGCTGCTTAGAAAAACAAATAGTTCTCTTATTTAAGATAAAACTTGAATGTTATGCAAAGCCAAAAAAAATATTCACATTAAGATTTCAACATCAAATAAAAATAGTTCTAAATTGTTTATTTCATCGTAATATCATAAAAAATAAATAACAATCTGTTACTATAACGAAGCACTTTTAATTTAATAAAATGAATAAATATTTTTTATTCTAAATATCAAGTCATCACTTTGATATTTAATCCAACACGAAACACGTGGGGCGTCAATTAAAATTACACATTCCACTAATCACTGCTACAGTTCACTGGTGTGCAGGTAAAAATAGACTTTACTTCGCATAAATTAAAACTTTATATTGATCAAGTTTAATATTGGTGACCTAATAGTTGTAATGAAGGAATATTTGTCACAGTATCCCCAAATCGTTGTCCTTTATAAAACCCTATTCTGTTTGTGTGTATGTAATAACAAAAAAAACCCCTAAGGTTTTTAGATTTTACTTGTGGATTCAAAGTCGTTTTAATCACATTGAATGGGATCGATAACACTTCTGAAATTGTTTATAGTATAGCTTATCTAAATAATTCAATCTTAATTCTATGATAAGAACAAAGTTTCGAAAATCTCTATTATTGTTCATCATCATAAAGTTTAAATATTATTTTAACCAGCTTTCAAAATAAATTTTGGTCTATGCAAGATCAACACTACACTTTAATTTAAAGCTATTTTTATTAATTTGGTTTGAAAAATAATTTCAAAAGGATTTTTATATGAACATAGCTTAACGATAAAAAACAATTGCGCAATTTTTTTATTCATTGGAAATTTAGATGCCTTCTCATTTATACATCGGTTTATAATTAACGAATAAAATGGAAAGTAATAAAAAGACGAGAAAAGTGAATGAGACATACAATAATAAATAATTTTAAATTGCACATAAATAATATCTGCTTGCATGTTGTATGAACATAATTTTGAATATCCATAAATCATTTAAACATCACGCAAAATAAAAATTATGAGTCAACAATAATGAATGTTATGAAAGATTATTTCACATTTTATTTGCCATGTCTCCATTATGTAACAAATAAATATTTTTCTCTAATAACTATGGTCAAAATACAAGATCGATCCTAAGTTAGCAAAAGGTTTAGAGTGTG